GGTAAGATTTTATAATCACTGTATTTTAACATTTTACTGAGTGGTTGTCTTAGAATCTTAACATTTACAAAACAGATTCTAGTTAACATAAAGAACATTTTTGTTGAGATAAAAAATAGAATATATTTGCTTTTATTTAGTGTGACATCAGATTTTGTAGAGGGTTTGGTTCTAAGATAGTTAAAAATGTTTCAGCATAACGAGAAAGGTTACATTTTACCATTTATAGTTACAGGCGGGGAAAAAAAATAACTGTAGTGCAAAGTTGCCATGGCAACTCACTAATCAATCAGGGTTTTTTTCCCCACTCTTCCAAGTCTACCAGTTGCCAAACTGGAAATGAAAACCACTGAAGGAAAAGAGGTTGAAACAAATAAGGATGAAAAATTATGATAGTAAGTAGCAAACACTTAATTAGAGTAATTTTCCTAGGTGTGTTTTCACTATTTTAATTTTATCAGATAATAATTCCACAAAAAAAAAAAAAAACCTAACAACACATTTTGTTGTTGTTGTTGTTAGGGGTGGCTTCATTACTGTTCCTGAGTCTCTATAATTGGGAATAGTCATACTGTCTGTTAATCAAGACCCTTAATTCAGCTTCAGTGTACTTTTCTTAAATAAGCTTTACACGGCAGTTAACCACTGAATCTCTGTTTAATGTTTATCAAAAAGGGTGCAAGGGGCTTTCAGAGATATTCACTCTCAACTAAAAATTTTGTTCGATCGCCCAGGTCTGAACCCTTGCCTCTCAAGACTAATTTATATCATTTAGAAAATAATACCTGTCATAGAAAATTGAAGTTTTTAACTATAAAGTATGGTTACTTTAGAAAATTCAATTTTCTCATTTAAGCTTAAATTGAGTTCAAAAGTCTTATGTTAATATGTATATATTACATGTAGATACAGATATAGCTATAGAAGTAAATATAGAAATAGACATGGGCATAAAAATAGATCCATATAATCATAGGCATAGATATACATATGCATTAGATATGGATATGCACATACAAATAGATAGAAGCCTGGGTGGCACAAGTGGTTTGCGATTGGCTGCTACTTGAAAGGTTGGCAGTTTGAACCCATCCAGTGGCTCTGTGGAAGAAAAGGCCTGGTGATTTGTTCCATAAAGATTACAGACAAGAAAACTCTATGGACCAGTTCTACTCCGTAATGCACGGGGTTATCATGAGTCGGGGGCCAACTCTACAACAGCTCACAACAACAGCATACAAATAGATAAAGGTATAGAAATCATGAGTTTCTTCTCTTGGTAAGAAAGCTTCAGGCCCTTTGGGTACTGCTTACTTCTTGCAGATTCCTTGTGATAAAAAATAACCGTGGAGAGTCGGACATAGGAGGAGGATATGGAATGTGTGGCTTATTGCCTCCATGAATAACTGTCTCCTTGGCCACAAGGCCAGAAGAACTGGATGGTGCCTGGCTACCATTACTGACCATTTTGATCAAAGATTCTATAGAAGAATCCTGATCAAAAGTGGGTAAATGCAGAGCAGAATTTCAAATTCTCATGGACTCCAGACTTCTGGAGACATGAAGGCTGGATGAACCCCTGAAACTATTGCCTTGAGATAATCTTTAAACCTTAAACCAGAAATATTCCCTGAAGTCTTCTTAAAATGAAGCAATAGTTTAGCTTAACAAGTGAAGATGGTCCGCTTTGAGCATTGTGCTCTTTTAAGATCTGTCTACATGGGATCAAAGGGACAATAGCAACTCAAAAGATTAGATAGAAACCTTGGGGGCAGTGTACTTACATTAATGGGGGAGGAACAACTCAGAAAAGGTGGGTGAGATTTGTTGCACAACCCAAAGAATGTAATCAACGTCACTGAATTTTACACGAAGAAATGGTTGAATTGGTGCATGTTTTGCTGTGTATATTTTCAACAACAAAATAAAGATTTTTTTTAAAAAAGAAACCCACACCAAAAATAAATAAATACATAAAATCAGAGTGAAAAAGAAAATGTGATAGATTTTAATTCAAACACAACACCAAGACAAGTTCTTAATTCAAACACAACTAAGGTTTATTTCTTCCATAGTATATAAGTCAAGAAATGGAGAAGGATTTATGATGTCAAAGGCAACAGAGAAGTCAAGGAAACAAAGGACAGGAAGAGAGCTTATTTCCATGGTTGGGAAGTCTGCTGGTCTTTTTAGACATGCTGCACAGACAGAGGGGTGTGTGGGAGGAAATGAAATTTCAGGAAAAGATTAAGTGGTGAGAAAAGTAAGGTTCAAAAAATTAAGAACAGAAAATAGAGTGAGGGTGTCAGTATTAAGGAAGATTCTTTTGGAGAAGATGGGAGGGGACAGCAAAGGAATGAGGGAGACCAGTGTATAAAAGCACGGTAAAGGGAAATAAGTTTAGCATGAGCCATCAGTTAGTGCTAAAAATCATAGCCTCTCATTTTTATCTATTTTTGACCTATTTTCATCTTCTCTGTGCTTTTCTGGGAACAAAGATCTCTTTTGAAAGCTTTTAGTCCTTTTATCATTTAATAACTGCTTCTACTTTTCAGAATTTACTAAAAAGCCTATTTCTCCGCCCTGGGAATACACTGGCATTAAAGGTGAGAAACAGGAGCTACACTTTGAGCTCTTCCAAAGAAAAGCACTTTAGAAATCAAAGGCAATGCTATATTGTTATTATTCCTCCTTCCCCTGAATGCTTGGCATGGCATTGTCTCCCATTTGCAAAGAGAAGTCTTTCATTTTAGCCATTATATTAACAATCTGTGGCTCTAAAAAAGGAAAGGATATCTAAATTGATCAACCCAGTACCATAATCTTCTTTTTCCTTAGTTCTGGTGCTGTGCATCTGAGCCAGGAAGCAGAAATAGGAGCATTGTAACTTATTTCATCTTCTATGTAAATTGCATCCAGCAGTGCTTGAATTTTCAGGCATATGGCCAAGCGCTGTCAGATCTATGCAAGCAGTAATCCACAAGCTCAACAGGCACTGAAAGCATGAGGTGCTAACTCATGAATAATCCTTTCATATTTTTATACACTTATATAGCCCGTCACTTATTATAATGATAATTTGCATTAATATCAGAATAATGAATAGAGGACAAAAATAAGTTATTTTGGAAATGTTATCAATATTTCTAAGAAAAGTACCAGTTATTGCTTATCGAGACAAAATTGGAAGTATCTTACAATACTCAGGAAACAATAGTAACTAACAGATGCAGTTAATATTTTCCGCACTTAGTTAGCTCCATGAAAGTCATCACTCATAGGGAAATAGCTAATAAAAGTCTGAGGGGAAAGAAAAATTTAAGCTAGAAAATAATCCATACTTGGCACCTCATATAACTAGAAGTCACCTCTAGATGCTCAGATTTAAAAAGAAAGAAAACATTTTAACAGAAGATGGATGTAATTCCAAGTTGTGATTGTTCACTATGTTCAATCATTTGATTTAGTCATTTCAAAAAAAAAAAGACATTTGTAATGACAGATGTGAAAAAAGCAACTTGAGCTTTTCTGTCTATTGATCAGCTAAAGTGTACTTATATCTTATAGAACCAACCAAAATTATAACAAAAGACAAGAGTTTATTCGGAAATAAAAGAGAAGACATAAAAAGACTGCACAGAGATGAAATTTTTAGGAAATAAACCACTTTAATATTAAACAAACACACAAGTTAATAATACTCTGTCTTCCAATTTTTGGAATTGAGAAAATAGATCCCACTGAAACATGGAAATATTTGGTAGACATATTCTAAGCATTGAAAACATGGGAGTATTTTTGGTTACCTGAAAGCAAAACCAAATAGAAGTCCTATTTTTCTTTCTGTGTTAGTGATGACATAGACAATGAAAGTTCTACATGATTGTCTGCTTCTTTGCAGGTTAGAATGTAAACTCCATGTTTGGTTCACTGATGTATCCCAAGAATCTAGCACAGAATCTAGTATATAATAGCCATTTAATAAATACGTATTACAGTGAATTGTTGTTGACATGGAAACTGCAGAACAATGTGCCTGCCACATTTTACTTGGATCCACAAGCAACACCCATGAAAGCAGCAGTCAAGAAATCGAAAGATGCATTGCATTAGGCAAATCTGCTGCAAAAGACATCTTTAAAGTGTTGAACAGCAAAGATGTCGCCCTGAAGACCAAGGTGCGCCTGACCCAAGCCATGGTGTTTTCAATCGCCTTATACGCATGTGAAAGTTGGACAATGAATAAGGAAGACTGTAGAAGAATTGACACCTTTGAATTGTGGTGTTGGTGAAGAATATTGAATATACCATGGACTGCCAAAAGAACGAACAAATCTGTCTTGGAGAAGTACAACCAGAATGTTCCTTAGAAGCAAGGATACCAAGACTATGTCTCACATACTTTGGACATGTTATCAGGAGGGATCAGTCCTTGGACATCACGTTTGGTAAAGTAGAGGGCCAGCGAAAAAGAGGAAGATCCTCAACAAGATGGATTGACACAGTGGCTGCAACAATGGGCTCGAGCATAATGATTGTGAGGATGGCGCAGGACTGGGCAGTGTTTCGTTCTGTTGTACATAGGGTCACTATGAGTCAGAATCAACTTGACAGCACCTAACAACAACAACAACATTGCTTGCAACAAAAATAAAACTAAAAATCACTCATCGGTCACTTAAAATTTACAAGGAACTTTGCAGGTACTCCTATGCTCTGTGTTCATCAAGCACGGGAGCAGCTGTGCACCAGAGCCCGTGCTGGCACTCCCGCCTGGTGCTTGACCCTGCTCTCAACCTCTGCAATCTCCTTACTCCTGTGGCTTGTTGGCTTCCTTGCACCTCGGACCTCATTCCCACTGGGCAATGTCTAGTTTAGAGCTTGGCGTTCACAAAATTGCCCCCTAATTATTCCAAAGCATCCACAATTATATGTTTTCAATATCTGACACATTCTTCCATCAAATTACACAGCAGTTGCATCTGACACATTTCCCTTACCTTCTGCTTGCTCCTGGGCTTGCAGTGGCATTATAACCTGGAGGGGGTGGTGGAAACCAGGACTGCCTGTTAAGAAATGACAACAGTTACAAACATGGTCCTTAATAAGCTTGATCCCACCCACATGTCTATGAAGAAAAGCTGAAAATAATTTGATAGTTAAAAAGGTAACATGATTACTTTTATACAAGGCCTTGGAAATGGAATGAAAAGTATTTTATAAATGAATAGAAAGTGATTATACTCTAGGCTATCTGCTCCCCCAAGTAAGTTCCTTTTCTCATTTCTTTTGGTACTAAACAATGTGGACATTTCTTTAAAAAGAAATCTGAAACAAATCTGAAAAACAATAACATTTATGGAGAAATCTAAATAATGGGTACATGGGTGTTTACCATGTTACTCTCTATTTTTCTCTATATCTGAAATATTTCATAATAGAAACAGTAACAATTTGATGTTCTATTTAAAATACAGTTTTAAAAAAACTGTGATGGAAAGTCCCGACAAGTAAGAATATTGAAAATATAAATAAACATCACAGAGATTAGCGAAGGATTGTTGTTCTTAGGTGCCATCGATCGCAACCCTATAGGACAGGGTAGAACTGCCCCATAAGGTTTCCAGGGAGCAGCTGGTGGATTTGAACTGCCAACCTTTATGGTTAGCAGCCAAGCTCTTAACCACTGTGCCACCAGGGGATTAACAACAGGCAATAAGAAATATCTCCTACTAGAAAGATGTCTTCACCTGACTAGGACATCATTTTAATTGGCAGAGAGAGAAAGCCTGGGATAAGGAAGTCAGGAGAGCTACCTGTAAATTCTTAAGGTAGGTGTATTCTCTGAGGCACCACAGGACAGAACTAAGACCAGGTGGGAGTGAAATCAAGGCAAATTTCAGCTCAAGGTAAGGAGGAGATACTCATCCACGACACCTAGTCAAAGGTGCATCTCAGAATAGCCATGGTCTTATCACTGGCTTCAAGATCCTGAATTAAATCTAACCTGTCAGAGGAAAAATACTTGCCCTGGGTAGGAGATTAGACTGTTGTTGTGTGCCCTCAAGTCAATTCCAAGTCATAGTGACCCTATAGGACAGAGTAGAACTGCCGCAAAGGGTTTTCTAGGCTCTAATCTTTATGGGAGCAGATCTCCAGGTCTTTCTCCTACAGAGCTATTGGGTAGGTTCAAACCGCCAACTTTTCATTTAGCAGCTGAGCACTTAACTGTTGCATCACCTGACCTTAAATTTCCCTTCCAACCTTAGGAATCTCTTTTTAACAGACAAAGTGTTGGAAAGATGTGAAATTTGGGTCCAAGAGAAAGATAAATCACATTTCATGAAATTCTGCAAGTGTACCAGAATCCTTACCACAGGAAAAATAGAATTAGTCATCTCACTCTCTCAGAAGACTGTAGCTACACCAGGGCAAAGTCAGTCAGTCCCCCATCAGATATTTATTGGGTACCTACCCTGTGTCAGACATGGTTCTAGGTGTAGGCAGAGGCAATGAGAAAAAACAAAACACCAAGGTTCACAAAGGCTTGTTTTCTGTTTGCATCATGATGCATTAGCACCGTATTCCCTTCAAGATGCAGGAGTCTCTTCCACCATCACTTTCGGTCGCATGAAGATTTCTGCTACCACAGGTCTTGCTATTCCACTGCACTTACTAGATGAGCGGAACTTAGCAAGAGCAGAATATGGGAGGCCATGCAGGAGAAGTCAAAGGAGGGAATAATCACATAAACATAGAGCCTTTGACTCTGTATTTGGAAGCAGGGTCAGCCCAGCTACAGAGTAGAAGAGGCAGCCACTGAAGTAGGCTGATTTCAGGAGCATGGAAATATATGGCCACATCTTAGTCATTGTTTAAAGTTACAGCATTCCTATAGCAGAACTCTGTTAAAATCCATTACATGAATGAGCCCACTCACTAAAGATAAAAGTCCCTGGGTAATGCAAACTTCTCGGTTACCCAGAGGTGCCTCAAAAGAAAGGCCTGGTGATCTACTTCCAAAAGATCATAGTCATGGAAAACCCTATGGAGTAAAGTTCTACTCTGACACACATGGGGTCACCATGAGTCGGAATTGACTTGACAGCATCTGGTTTTGGTGGTATCATCAAGGATATGACTTAAAAATTCAAGGCCCTAAGGGAATTGGGGAGTACCTGGGTGGTGCAAACAGCAAACACGTTCAGGTGCTAACTGAAAGTTTGGTGGTTCAAATCCACCCAAAGGTGCCTCGGAAGAAAGACCTGGTGATCCACTTCCAAAAAAAATCATCAGTTGAAAACCCTGTGGAGCGAAGTTCTACTCTGACACACATGGGGTTGCTATCAGTTGGAATTAACTCCACAACAACTGGTTATTTTTTAAGAGAACTGGAGGGAAGACCATACATTTTAATAAGAGATTTGTTGTTGTTGTTAGTTGCTGTTGAGTCAGTTCTGACTCATGGCAACCCCACATGTGCAGAGTGGAACTTCACCCCACAGAGGTTTCAATGACTACGAAGTTGAACTTTTAGAAGCAGACCATCAGGCCTGTCTTCCGAGTTGCCTCTGGGTGAGTTCGAACTGCCATCCTTTTAGCTGGTAGTCGCGTACTTAACCCTCTGAGCTACACAGGGACTCCCACTGGCAGACTACGGGGTAGCAAGGACTGACGTTTGATGTCAGCAGAATGCAGGCAGTGGATCCTCGGGGAAAAAGTGAGAACAAAGAGGAAGCAACTCTGAATGCTGCCTGGAGCTGTGGTGGAGGATTTGGTTCAGAAATATAATAAAGAACAATCATTCTTTAGAATATCACCTAAACGCAAATACAACCAGCCCATCATACCTCTTTTTCTTTACAGGAGTAGTAGCAGAGGCAGAAGCCGTGGTGTTGGTGGCGTTTGTGCTGAACAAATTACCAGGTTGCCTGTTTAATCACAAAAACAACAAATAATCACATTCCTGAAACTTTTTCATTCTACCCCAACTTTGAAAGGCCTAGTAACTGACTCATATGCCTCATCTGCTCGCTATCCACCACAAAGTACTTCAATTAAGGTTTGAAGAATTACAAAAGATGCCTTTCCTTAATCTGACCTATTTTATAAATCACCAGTTTCTCATATAACTAATTAAAATGGAAGGAATTGAATAATAAGTCATTCATCATAGGACATTATCTGTCCTAAATTCAGACAAATCAACTGTGGTATGCGATGGATTCACACGTATTTTTTAATTCCTGGGATTATATTGCGACTAACAATTATACTGTAAATTTTTTTTACATTAAAAGCATTAGTATGCTAAAGAAAACAATTTAAAAGTTCACCATTTTTGCATCTCTACTTAGCATTTATAAATATAATCAGACCCTCAAACAATGGAAGTGACCCAGGCCTGTTTCAGCCACGGAGAGGTGCCACCCAGTGTGAAAAATTACTGCAATAAGTACACACGAAGAAACTAAGAACATTTAAAAATCTGCCTAACTGGGGCTGCCTATAACCACCAACAGTGTATTCTAGTTTTCAAAAGTGTGTTTCTTCGACATGGATTGTTAGCAAACCCATGATTTCAGAATCCTCTGAAGCAGGAGTTGGGGAGAGTGAAGTTTAAGGAACAAAGAGCTGATTGCCATGAGAAATGGGAGTCTGTAGGAAAAAGTAAAGCATCTAGATTAAAAGAAAAAAAATGATCTAAGTTTTGGTGTTAGGTTACAGCAGTGGTCTGCAAATTTTTTCTGTAAAATTCCAGACAGTGAGTATTTTAAGCTTTGCGGACCATTTCGGTGCCTGTCCTCTGCTGCAGAGATTAAAAAAAAAACCTGTTGCCATAAAGATTCCAACTCCTAGAGACCCTATAGGAGAGAGAGAACTGCCCAATAGGGTTTCCAAGGCTGTAATCTTTACAGAAGCTGACTGCCCCATCTTTCTCCCACAGAATGGCTGGTGGGTTCCAACCATCAACCTTTCAATTAGCAGCCGAGTGCTTAACCACTGAACCACCAGGCTCCTGTGCTGCAGAGGTAGACAATATCTAAGTGGGTGGGTGTGGCTGTGTTCCAATGAAACTTTGGCCTGAGGGTCATAGACCTCCGGTCTAGAGCACTGAATTAGCACATACTATATGTATATATACATACATATATATAATTCTTAAAATGTAACCTCAGATAGAAAAGTACATACGACTCTGTTGATTCTGGTGATCTAAAGGCGGACAGGCTTCTGGTAAGGAAAAAAACCAAAAACAAAGTTTGAGCAGCGATGAAGAATTAACACTTGCATCTATCTGCAATTATCCATGAATTTAGAGTTATTATTTTAACAGTTAGATATTATTTGAGAGCAGGAAAAAGAAATACATTTGATAAGGGGAATCCACGATCTTTTTATCTCTGGCACCAGATTCCAAAGGAATAGTTTTTCTTTAGAAAATCTGGCATCTTTTAAGCCCGAAGTTTCTATTTGTTGGGTACAGTAATTTTCTTTCATAATGAGAATGTAAAATTTGCGTTTACATGTATTTCATAATCTTGCCACCAGGACAATTGAAACAGAAATACAAATGTGTTAAAAATGATGACATGAGGCTAGGCGCTCCCTTGATTTTTTTAAGCCAGACAACAAGATTTCATTTTTCACTAGACGTACAGCAAGGGGTAAAGGCCTTTACTCCAGAACTTTAGTATCTAAAACATAAAGGGTAAGAAGTTACAGGAAGATATTAAGTAGGAATGAAGCAGTGTAAGTAAATAAGTTATGCTTAGAAAAATATTGTACTTGAACCTTTCCCGAGTTAGTAGGTACTGATACCTATTGGTTACTTGGTGATCCGAGGCATTGGCCTTATGCGCTTTAGCAGCATCTTTTCGGTCTGAGATCCTTTATAAAGAAACAAGAAAAAAGTTTGGATAAACATTTAGATGATTAAACTCCTTTCAGAACTCATTCATGCTAGAATAACTTTACAATATAAACTTTCTTGAATAACAAGCCCTGTTTTTCAGGTGTTACATTTTAGAAAATTTTACAGTAAAACGAAAGCTACTTAAGACAAAAAAGATGAGGCTATTTTTATAGTTTTGATTTTTATAAGTATTACTCTTTTCTGTTTGCCTCTCTGAGCACTGATAACATTAACTGTTGTTGTAATGTTTATTATCTTATCAATGACGGTACTTGTCAGTCAAAGGCATCAATGGAATGCTTAACTATGTTTTTAACGTTTTGAGTTAGAGAGAATACTATGTATTTGCCAAATCCATTTTATTTTCCTCCTGAACACACAGGAAGACTACATTTCTCAGCTTCCTTTGCAATTAGGTTGGGATCATGAGATTGAATTCTAAACTAAAGAACGTGGACAGAAATGTGGTGTACCACTTTTAGATCCATCATAAAAACCCCAGCACCCTCCTCCATGCTGGTTGTTCCCCTTCCATGATAGCTTTGGTGTCCGTGGGCTGACGACAGCAGTATTGAAACATAGAAGGAACTTAGATCCCTGAGTGACTGCATGGAGCAAAGATTCCCCCCCTTACCCCCAGTTCTCCAGCCAATCACATTGGACTCTAGTGAAAGCAAGCAGTAACCCTTGATTGTGTTAAACCACAGAGATTTGGGGTAAGGCGCTTGTTAACATAGTTACTTTGCCTTGACAAACTAGCTTACTTTCACTAATACATTTAGTTAATAGTTCCAACTTGAACATGTCAGCAATCGTGAGGATAATACCAGACCCAGTAACATTTCCCTCTTTGTACATGGGGTCACCATAGAGCCGACTCTAGAACAGCTGTCTATCTAATGCCCATCGAATGTTTGAATTGCTTTAATTTCAGATCTCATCAAGGAGGATACATCTAGAAAAGCTGTGTGTGTCTGTGCTTAAAGTGAGGAAGCACAAATTAGGAATCTGTTATACATAAGGTCACCCTAAGCCAGAGTTGGCTCTAGGACAACTAACGACAACAATAGTCCCCATAACAATGGTGGGATCTTATGACTGCAGCTCCTGTTCCCCTCCTTCCTTCCCTCACACCAGATTGAAAGGTTCTTCCTATAACCTGGTGCTATCTTCTGGAGCATTCTGCAGGCTTGCATGAAACTAGAATATAGCATAAGGTTTCCCTCAGGAAACAAACAGTCTGACAAGGCCCTTCTGTTGATTCCAATCTCTGGGTCTACTATAACTGTCCTAAACTTTCACTTTTACCCTCTACTTTAGTACAGGGCTTTATATAAACCCTTCTTGCTAAGATAGACATTGACTTTGATTCTCTCTTTAAAAAAAAAACCATGTGGGAAAAATATCCCTTAGTTATATGGTAGAAATAATTTCAATTTGTAAAGTCATTTTGCCACTTGTAACTAAAATATTGGGTAAATAACTCTTAACAAGTTAAGTTTCTATGAGTCAACCCTAAAACACAGCTTCCGCTTATGGTGCATAATGCCAGAAACCATTAACTCTTGAATGTAGAAACAGGGGATGAATAACTGGTTACGACACTCCAAAGCTCCATATTCTCAATATACTGTTCACAATACAGGCAGTAACTTGTATAGAATCCTAGAATCCGTGTATAAAAACCTTCACATCCAAGGAGATCATCAGGCCAACGACTGCAATCATATCACCTGCACTAACTGCCCCAGAGCCCTCTGGGATATTTAGATTTAAAGTGCCCTGCAGCAAATCATAGTCAATCATAGGTAGGATGCCAGGTAATCATAGGCTTAAGTTTTCCTTGAAAATTGTATACAGACTTCATAGCTGTCTCTGAGGCCTCATATAATATAAAAATAATCTTGGGAAATACTACTCTGATACACTGAAAACAACAATTTGTTTAAAACAAACAGAATTACAAATATTCTCAAGGTTTAAATAAAGGTGAGTTTTGAGGTTAAAATTAAAGAAGCTAATAAAAGTTCTACAGTGTACATCTATGAGAATACTACTACATCTCATAATAAAAATAGCTACCTACTACTCTTTGCCAGTCATTTTATATGCAGTCGTTCCTTGGTATCTGCAGAAGATTGGTACCAGGACCCTCGAGGATACCAAAATTTTAGGATACTCAAGTCCCTTATAAAAAATGGCATAGTATTTTCATATTACCTATGCACATCCTCCTGTATACTTTAAATGATTTCTACATTACTTATAATGCCTAATACAATGTAAATGATATGTAAACAGTTGTTATACTGTATTGTTTAGGGAGTAATGACAAGAAAAAAGTCTGTACCATTCAGTATAGAGGCAACCATCATAGGCCTAACTACAGTGCATGTCAGCAACAACATAACTTTCTTTTTCTGAATATATTTGATCCACGATTGGCTGAATCGGTGGATGTGAAACCCGTGGATACAGAGGGCCGACTGTATTTTTCTCTGCTCTTAAGAACAATTCTACAAGGTAAGTGTAATTATTTTCATTTTATAGATGAAGAAGTGACGTCTCGGAGAAGTTGGGTGACTTTCTCTTGGGCACACTGCTAAAAACTGGCAAAGAAAGGATTTACAGGTGGTGGCCGTTCCGCTAGGGCCCAGTGTCATATCTCAGATCCTGTATTGTGACTGTCCCCAACTATCACATATTAGGTCAACAAGTCTTCCTCTAGTTATTACTGTTCACTTCCCACAGTCTCCTCTATGACACTGGGTGGGGAGGGGGGTGCGTGGTGGAGATCTATCAACAGTAATAGAACTCTAAAGCGCCGTTCCAATAAATGTCAATTTCTTATTGTTCAGGGAGATGAAATTTGTATTTCTCCTGGAAATTAAGTTTCTGTCAACTTGTGATACAAATAGGTTATTTTAATAGGAGTCAACCTCGGAGGCAGGAAACACCCGAACAATACAATCAACAATAAAATCGAAAGAACCAAAGGAAAAGTTGTAGTTCCATTACTGAACACTAGGGGTCTCCCTTGGTTTTCTAAATTCAGTCGTTTAACCACTAGGATTTGGGCCTGTCAAATACACTGCGTAAAGATTATAGCCTAGGAAACGCTACGGGGCAGTTCTACTCTATCCTACAGGGTTGTCATGAGTCAGAAACGACTCGACGGCACACAACACCTATACTGCATTCACTTGCATGCTACATGTGCTATTGCTTACTTATGTTTCTTTAGCATGCTCATGTTTTTACCTACATATACATTTTAAAGGAAACTCTTCAAATAGAAACTCAATACTTTTCTTATGCTCATTAAAATAAGTACATTAGCATTAAGATGTGCATGTGTGCGCACGCACACACACTCTACTCACACACACTGTGGATATTTGACCCTCTTCCATCTAAAATTATTTCATACTTCAAATTTTGGTGTGGCCTGCCTTTGGAATTTCTGCTCCTGCTAACAGGGCTTGTGTTTCTTTACTGACCCCTGTGGCTTCTCTTCCTCACTTCCATTTCCCCATGTACAGAGATGTAGCTTACTATAGAAGACAGGATTCCCTTGGAAATAAGCTGACCAGGTTACTTCTCCCAAACATGCCATAAAGCTCTGCATGAAAGATTCAGTTAATCTCTGGTCCTGTTTTCTAGCGTATAAAAAGAGTTTGGGTTAAACTGGTGGTTCTGAAAGTTGACTACATGTTAGAATCACTCCATAAACTTAAAAAAAATTGCTTGAGTTCCATCTCAGAATAATGAAATCAGAGTATTGGGGTTGTGGGCTAGTGGATCCAAGGCATTAATAAAGACTAGAAGCTCCCTCAGTGGTTCCAACGTACAGTCAAGGCTGAGATGACTCCACTAGGTTGCCTGTGAGGTCTAGTCCTAACATCCCAAGGCTCTGTCTTGCGTGGTCTGAGATAAACTTTCAGACGTACAACCTACAAAAGCTTAGGTGTCCCACATATCTGGAGCCCTGGAGGTACAGTGGTTAAGAGCTCAGCTGCTAACCAAAAGGTCGGCAGTTCGAATCCACCAGCTGCTCCTTGGAAACCCTACGAGGCAGTTCTACTCGGTTCTATAGGGTCACTATGAGTTGGAATTGACTCGACAGCAATGGGTTTGGGTTTCGGTTCCCACATAACCACATTTCATGAGGTTTAACTAACTCACTTTAAAATTCATTCCTGAAAATAGGGTTTTCATCTTCAATTAGGGGCTCACTAGGACAGCCTGCAAAGCCAGGGGCAAATGGGCAGCAGTATTTTGACTCCTCTTCTCCATGTGCTACTGAGGAGACGGAGATCTTTTACATACACGTCTACAAACTTATGTTTCTCAGGATGGTAATTAAAAAGAGAGGCTGATCCTTCAAGGATACCAATGCCGACTGTCCTCTATTAGGGAGAATGACTTGAAAACCTGTGAATAGTGCAGACATATATACATTTGCAATATTAACAAACACTGACATAGTCTGAATATAGAGTATAACTTTAAGTTTCAGCATAGCTACTTAAAATCTAGCAGGTGCCATTTTTATCTATAATAGCGGCACATCTTTAACTATAGGGAGTGAGCTCAACCATTGCTGGCCTCAGGTGTCCATTGTGTCTTGACTTCAATTAAATTGTTAACTTTACTCTTTACTTATGCTTACAAAGCATCTCTAACAAATCTAAAATAAAAATGTGATTTGTAGTATGTACACTTTAGCCTGAATGGAAGTGTCTCAGTTTTCTCCATAGAGATGAGTCTTGACCCTCTAAGTGAGGGCTAACGACAAGCACAACATAAAGGACTCATTCTATAAGCCAAATGGTTACTCTAGTGCCAAGAGAGTAGTTTCCCTCTCTAACGTAATGAGCTAATGCCTTTATCCTAGGTGGAGCAAAGCTACTGTATTATTAAAATTTACACTGTCTCCAGAAAGTAACTGGACAGAAACTGCTGCTATTCCTTCACCATCAGGATGGAAGAACCAAAAGTTAATCATATTCACAAAAATAATTACACTCTTAATTTTTAATTGCACTAACAGATTCCACGCAGTGTTCACTGTAGTTATACTCACATCGGTTTCTCTTGGAAGTTTTAATATCAATCTGTTCTTATCAGGATATTAGCGAAATATTGTATCTAGTCAAGATTTTATGAGTTTTGAAGAAGGAAATAATTCAATCCTTATGTCACTTCTATCTTGGGATAAAATATCAATGGTTCAAAGTTTACCTTGGAAAACATCAGAATATCTCATAGCTTTATAGAAATGGGATTCAACATATGTTATGGATTCTGCTTAGATGGTTCAAAACACCTTACCTGTCTAAACTGTCATCAGATCTGTACCGACTAATTGTGGCTTTTGGCTCATCTCTCTCATTTGTTTTCCTGTAGCCAAAAAAATAAATAATAACCAAAAGACAAATAAATTATCAGATAGTTTATAAGACCTATCATGCATTCGGCAAAATGTTTACCAACCAAGGTAGAAAATGTACACGTTACCAAGAAAAGAAAGACTTTGAGCACCCAAATTCTCCAAAGTTGTGACTTGGATAAAATAAATTATGGGAAGCCCAACTCCTCATGCCACTAAAGGATTCTTCTCTGGCTGCAATCACTCCTAACTACAATATGATACATTCAAATTGAGCATAAGGATATGTAAAACAAACAACACAGGATGCAAAATGGTTAATAACTAATATGTACTCTTGTCAATGTTGTGGATTTCTGCATAATAGAAACTCCTCAATCCCTTATAATCGCTTTTTTTTGTTTGCAGAGTTTATCAGTGCCATAAGCCAGCACAATGGACCAAGTACTGAAAGCGTTATTTAAAATTCAGCACCGTGGACAGGGTTGAAAAAAGAAAACTACTGGCAGAAGGGAGAGGAAAGATAGGAAAAGATAGAAACAGGAAAATCTGGAAAAAGAATAAAACAAGAAAGTGGGGACAGAGAGAAAGGTTGGAGGTAGTAAGGAGATGAGGAAGGAGGTGGGCAGAAATAAAGTACAGAAGGGCAGCATGGTAGGCAAATCAGCAGAAAGGAAGAGGAGAGGGAGGAAGAAAGAAGAGAGGAAAAGACAAGAAAATAAGAGAAAGGAGGATAGGAGACTCAAGACTAAGGATCACAATAATCAAAGCAATGGAAATAGCGTGATGAGACTGATCAAACAAACAAACAAAAAAGCCTGTTTAATAACCCTGTGATACAGACAGGGAAAGCAAGTTATTCAGGGAATTACATTATGCTTTACCGTGCTTGCATTTTAAAATAGCATTTGAAGCAGACAGAGTATGAGACAGAATACTCAAGATTTAATTTCAAAACTGCTTGTAGTATATTTTCATTGATCAAATACTTGGAGGTAAACAATATATACAAAATACTGTGCTGGGAGCAAGGGAAAGTCAAGAATGAAATAACTATAGACTTTGCCCTCACGGAGCTTGCCGTTTTGAGGGACAAATACACCACGTACACCCAAAGGTAGAAAGTGCTCTGTGCCATAAAGAGATTCAGGCAGAGCACAGGAGGTTCTGAGTTGAGAAAGCTTATTTCCAGGTGTTAGCATCAGAAAAGGCTTTGTGGATGAGGTGCAGTTTGAGCTGCACCTTGGAGGATAAATAGATAGGAACATTTTCAAACAGAGGGAATAGTGTCAGTTAAAGCAAGAAAAATGTAAAGAAAAATACCAAATGCAACTCCCCAAGTTCTTAAGCAAACCCTGGAGTGAAATCATGGTATATTTCACCATCATGGAGTCCCTGGGTGACACAAATGTTTAAGACACCCAGCTGCTAACCAAAAGGTTGGAGGTTTAAGTCCACCCAGAGGTGCTTCAGAAGAACAGCCTGGCAATCTACCTCCAAAAACTGAACCATTAAAAACCCTATGGAGCAGTCCTACTCTGACACTCATTGGGTTGCCATGAGTTGGAATCCATTCTATGGCAATTGGTTGTTTCACTTTTTTTTTTTTTTCCTGCCATCGTGTGTAATGTGTGAATAAAAATAGGGGCAGGACCATCTGACACCCTCCTACAAATAATCCTCCATCAACACCACCACTTTATACCTCTGTGTCTGGCTTTCTTCTTCCTAGCACTTATCACAACACGGAGTATTATATTGTGTTTCTTTATGTTCTGTCACTCCTCTCCCCCACCCTCAGCTAGGATGCAAATTCTATGACAGCAGGAACTCTGTTGTATTCTCAGTCTTTAGAACAGTGTTGGGCACACAGTAGGCTACAGATAAATGCTTGTGGAATGGATAAATCTGTAGGATTATTGAGCACATAGGAAGGCAGAGCCCCACTAGGAAAAAGATAACGTGGTTTCTGTAAGAAAGAAGTAAGCAGTAAATGATGCAATCTTTGAACAGATAAATGAGCATGTCGATAAAAGAGTAGCCACAGTTTACGTAAACTTTATAAAATACTTTGATTAAACGTAATGTATTAAGTCATTACGGGTTGGAATGTAACATTTTACTCTGGATAGGAAAGTCAGCACATCTCCAAGTACTAAAGGCATGTAACACGGCTTCCTGCAGGCACTATTTGTGCTATCAGCCTTATTCAATGTATTTAAATGATCTGGTAGAGGAAGTCAAATTTCCTGGTTTGTGGATGCCATGAAGCTGTTATCTAAGGTGATGAGAATATATTATTTATTTTCCTTTCCTTTTCCTTACTGAGAATAAGTTATTAAATTATTCATCACCCTCCTCTCTAATATCTGAATTATTTTTACAATCTCAACCCTGATTACGCTTCTTCTTTGCTTAAAGAACTTTGATGGCTACCCATGACACTAGAAGAACATTCCATTTCCTCACACTACTAATACGCCCTTCCTGCTCTACTCTGGTCCTGCTTTCCTGGTGTTACCTCCTGCTGCTCCTGGTCTTTCTGCCTTCACTGTAGCTTCTTCAAGTTATTGTCAGTCCCTCCTCATGCTCTTTGCATATATTCCCACCTCTGCTGGTATTGCTTCTTTCCCTGCCCCATCCCCATTAACCAGATGTGATGGTTAATTTTACGTGTCAACTTGGCTAGGCTGTAGTTCCCAGTGGTTTGGCCAGACACTAGACTAGTTGCTGTCCTGTAATGTAATGTAATGTAATCACTTTCCATAACGTAATCTAATATAATGTAATCAATCAGTTATAAAAGGAAAGTGACCCTTATGAGGCAGAGTAGAAATGCCCCATAGGATTTCCAAGGAGTGGCTAGTGGATTAGAATGGCTGACCTCTTGGTTAGCAGATGAGCTTGTAACCACTGCGCCACCAGGACTCCTAGATCTGGCCAAACTTATGAACAGGTTTAAAAGGATTTAGAGAAATTCACAGATAAAAGTTTCCAAAGTAGACATATTCAAAGTGTCTCCTTAACTTTTTGTAGTCCACAAATGAGAAACAATCGTGCCTTATACTAATTTCCCCTTGGTGACAAACAGAGGCACATTACAAAATCAGATAAAACTTGTGTCTTCTGATGGGTGCAGTTGTGCGTGTGTGTGTGAATGTAAATGTGTTTTAATAAGAATATTATCTATTTATTTGATCAAGCTTAGATTGTGTTGCTAGTAATTTTCCTGCTAATTCACATTTGTCAGTCTGTTTGCCATGGCATGGCTTAACTGATTTAGTGTTTTCCCATAAACCCAGGAGTTTTTGGAAAGAAATGCACTGTCTCATAAAGCAAGTAAACTCTGGAGTTATTTCTGTATTTTAGGGTTCCTTTCTCTGAGATTCAGGGATATCTTATCTGGTCCCATTCCTGTGAGAGCCCCTTCCTGCTGTCAGGAGGTGACCTAGGTGGGGTGGGCAGAGGGTCTATTAGACTATGGCATCCAGCGGTAGTTCTGGGAGCCACAAGCAGGGGGAGCACGGAGTTTTCCCTGTGGAAACCCCTGGTGATATCAGATACTCTCCTTAAAGTGACCAGAAGGTCAGGGGAAGCCTTAGGCTAGCCACAAACATTCAGTTGTTTTGAACAAGTCTCCTCCTAAAACTACCATCTCTCTCTGTGTTTCTGCTAATGACAGAACGTGTCTGAAACACCCACCTGTCCAAGGCATCATGAGAGTTACACCGGTTGAGCACCACCCTACTGTAATATTCATCTCTGCAAAGAAAGAACAAATATGTCACATAAAAAGTTAGAATAGTATTTGGAAGGTGCAAAACAAAAGAGAGAGGCAAGGAGCTCATAGCTTTTGGCAAGGTTAATTCACTTTAGTGTAGGCATAAGAACATAACTATTTTCACCTGTCACCACTTGAGACAGAAGGGCACAAAAGAAACAAGTGTATCAGTATAAATGATTGTTATTCTAATTTATCCCATGAGATTTCCACATGATTCAACAATGGAATGAGTCTGTTGTTTTTTGTTTTTGTTTTTTTTTAATCAGAGTGTGGGAACATGAGGCAACCTACTTTGTGCATATTAATCCGTTACTGTCGAGTTGATTCTGACTCATGGTGACCCCATGTGTTACGGGATAGAACTGCTCCATACACTTTTCTCGGGTGTAGTCTTTACAAAAGCAGATCGCTAGGCCTTCTTTCTGTGGTGGGTTTGAACCACCAATCTTTAGGTTTGTAGTCGATCCCAAACCGTTCGCACCACCCAGGGACTTTTGTGTATATTAAAGCCAAACCAAACCCATTGCTGTGGAGTCAGTTCCAACTCATAGTGACCCTGTAAAACAGACTAGAACTGCCCCATGGGGTTTCCAAGGAGCAGCTGCTGGATTCGAACTGCCAACCTTATGGTTAGCAACCGAGCTCTTAACCACTGCAGGGTTCTTGTATATTTAAGAAGGGTCTTTTTCTGCTGGAAAAAAAGCTTTCTACCAATATATATTAAATTTAATGAGGCCCATTATGTCTGGACATTTTAATTTGACGGACTTGACAGTTTACCCAACAAAAAGCAGGAAAATAAGAACCAATATTTGTATTAAAGGAGGCTGATCGTTCGTAGGAGACATGGCCCATTTTGAACTGTGAAAATACATGGTTTGCCCCATTTGTCCTTGAAGTAACACTATAAATTAGGCAGGGAAGATGATGTACATAAAGTCTAACACATAGAATCCCAAGGCATATCTCTCTCACTTTGTACAACGAACCTGAAAACACAGGCAATTTTAGGAAACATCAAAACATGTAGTAGAGCCTTTGGATTTGAGCCAAGCCAGAGAGTAAGTACCTGAATCTTTTTCATGTCAACCCAACCAAACCAGAAATACCACATATCCCATGGTTCTGCTCCACTAACATTACTCAACACTCTGTAACCATTTTTAATAGAGCTATAAAAGAACTGTAGCAGACAACTAAAAACTTAAATTAAAAAAAAAAAAAAAAGATGAACAGTGAAACTAAAACAATGCCAGCAAACATATGCCTTCGAAGACCCCAAGAGAACTTTCCCATCTCACCGGCTAGTGCTTCCTGAGACTTGGGAGAGAGTGGTAGGTACCAGGCAGAGTTCTTCCCTGAGGAGAAAAACCATAACACACAGAGCTGGGACAGTGGGAGTGCAGGAAGCACCAGAGCCAATTCTGCCTCATTCAGCAGTTGCTGTGCCATCCAAGCTGGCTTCCCTGGGCCTTTGTAAGGAGGCATGCCTGGCACAAAACCTCACTCCTAACAACTCTGATTTGTCTTAGACATTCTTATCTTCATGCATTTGTGTAAATACTCACAATCCAAAATTTATATGTACATTTGACATCACTCTATCACTATGGAGACATAGAAATGCCATATTAGGTTCTGACAGAAGCAATAAGTATTGCTTCATAAAAGGGAATAATTGCTGTCCAATAGCGTTTAACTCCAAAAGAGCCCTGGTGATCCCATTTTGAAGCACTTGGATGCTAACCAAAAAGTTCGTGGCTCGAACCCACCCAGCAGCTCTACGGGAAAAAGACCTGGTGATCTGTTCCCATAAAGATTATACAGCCAAGAAAATCCTATGAGTCAGTTCTACTCGGTCACAGTATATGAGTCAAAATCAACTTGACAGAACCTAACAACAACAACAGTGTAAATTTCAAAAGTTAGTGTGATTCTCTACACACCCTGATATTCTCTTAAAATAATAATATTTAATAACAGAAGTTGGAGCCCTGGTAGCACAGTGGTTAAGAGTTTGGCTGCTGACTAAAAGGTTGGCAGTTCAAATCCACCAGTCACTCCTTGAAAACCCTATGGGGCAGTTCTACTCTGTCCTCGAGGGTGGCTATGAGTCAGAACTGACTCAACGGCAATGGTTTTTGTTTGTTTTTTAATAACAGAAGTTAATAGGTATGTTTTTATTTAACAGTCACAAGTATGTTCCTCCAATAACCCTATATGGACAGTTTTGTAGAAAGTAATGCCGGGTTTCTCAGCCTCAGCACTATTGCCGTTTTGGCCCGGATAATTCTCTGTTGTGGGGCTGTCCAGTGCGCTCGAGGACGTTTGGCGGTGTCGGGTTTGTTTTGGTTTTAGCACCATCCCTTGCCTCTACCTCCCAGATGCAAGAATCAGTGTCTAGATGTGACAACAAAAAATATTTCCAAATATTGCCAAATGTCCCCTGAGGAGAAAAATTGCTCCCATTTGAGAAAATGGAGTAATGGAAAGAGATGTGCCATGTTAAAATCTCAACTCTGCCACTTACTAGCTGTGCGCCATTGGAAAAGTTACTTAACTTCTCTGAGCCACATATTCCTCTTCTGTAAAATGAGGCTATAATACCTATTTTGCATGATTGTTGTGCTATTTAGTGATGGTTTGTTAAAGTACCTGGCATCAAACCTGACACATAAGAGAAAATCAGGAAACATATGCATATGTATACATACAACATACAATAAATATCTACTTGGGTTGGACAAATGTCTATTGTAAATCTATATTGGCAATGAGGTCATAGTTTTCAGATCTTTCAGCATATAGATAGTATATCTATACGCTATATCTATATATAACATATCAATCTATTAGCATATAGATAGTATAACCAATGCTCATATCATGCACATAAAACTTTCTTGGTGGCAAAAGTCTTCCCTTACAAAATAACACCACCGCATTGACCAAATTTCCAATACCTAGAGATATATGAGGAGCCCTGGTGGCACAGTGGGTAAAGTGCTCAGCTGCTAACTGAAAGCTCAGCGACTCGAATCCACCAGCTGCTCTGCGGGAGAAAGATGTGGCAGTCTATTTCCTTAAAGATTTACAGCCTTAAAAACCCTGTAGGGCAGTTCTAGTCTGTCCTACAGGGTCGCTATGAGCCAGAATCCACTCAACAGCACTGGGTTTTGTTTTGTTTTGTTTTTCAGAGGTATATGGCCACTTGGGACTAGAGTGGCCTGGGAACTTATATCCATGTGTTCAATTTGATTTGTGCACATAGAAATTTTAGAGAAATTACTATTAAATGTGTAAATTTGGAATCATATTAGTGTTTATTTCTACTGAGAAGGAGCCCTGGTGATACATCAGTTAAGTGCTCAGCTACTAACTGAAAGGTTAGTGGTTCAAACCCATCCAGTGACTGCACGAGAGAAAGACCTGGCTATCTGTTTCCATAAAGATTACAGCCTAGAAAACCCTACAGGGCAGTTCTACTCTGGCACATGGAATTGCTATGAGTCAAAACTCGACGGTTCCTAACTACAACAACAACACATTTCTACTGACGTGATCAACGTGCTTCAGTGATTTTCTTACCGTGGATTAACTGCTACCTTTTAGAAACTGGAAACTCATGTTTTCTTTTCAATTTACCGAGTAAGCACAAGCATCTATTCTAGGTGATGACCTTGAAATCCTGCTCTTTCTCACTAATGACACACATTCTCTTAAATATGTAGGATATTAAAAACGGGAGAGGTATTTTTGAAAATCTAATGTAATCAATGCATGTTTACTAAACCTAACCAACTGTTAGACCACGCAACAAAGTGTGTTAGAAGGAATGTGTTTGCTTTTCAGATGACACTCTCTAGCCATCCACCCATCCATCCTCTACACCCCCTTACTTTTCTTCTTCAGGATGTTTCTTAATCCAGATGTTATCCTGTAAGAAAGTCCTTCTTTGGTTCACTTCGTGAAAACCTCGTTGCCTCAGCATGGTTCCCAGAGCGGCACTCTTCACATCTATCAAAAGAAACGCGAGAAATGGAGAGGTGCAGTATCATGGAATGGAGTGTGGGTTTCTTAACTTGAACATCTTCGGAGTCTCATCTGATTGGCCAGCATAAGTGTTCTAGGCTGCCAAGTCCGTACGGTTTCAAAGTAGGGCTCACCAGCAAGAAAGAACACAAATCCATATCCAACCAGCAGAGATAACATACAGAACTGTTCAGGTGCCAAATGAAACTGCCAACACAGATCATAGGCCCCGTCCAGCTCCAGGAACGTGGAACCACAGGCTGGGATAAACCCAGCCAGGGATTACTGGGTTGGCCCTTTTACTCAATAAGAAGATCCCAGAAGTGAGTGGACAGCCCCATAAAACCAAATGAGACTAACGAGGTACAGGAGTCCAGTGACAAGGGCCAGAAGGCAGAAGGGGACAAGGAAGCTGGTGCTAGGGGACCCAAGGTTGTGTAAGGATATTGTTGATGTGTTGTGAGATTGTTAACCATTGTCATAGGGCAACATGTGTAGTAACTGTTAAATGAGAAACTGTTTTGTTCTGTAAGC